GGGGGGGGGGGTGTGAGTGTGTGTGTGTATGTCTGTTTATTCCAAACCAACGAATAAGAGGAAAAAGTATGCATGGAATTATTTTCATTTGTGAAGTTAGCATGTGTGCCACAATGAAATGCTTCTGTGTATCTTATTCCATATCTTATGTAGGAAAATGTACAAAATCTGGTTCATTTTGCCTCTTTTTAGAAGTCTGGAAAGTTGACCTGATACAGAGAGTCCAAGAAAGTGAAGACAAACATTTGAGGCAAACTGTATCCATCAACAAAGCCCTGACTGAAGAGAGAGGTAATGTTCTTGGTAAGACTTTTAATGTGGAAACAAACCCTGTTCCTTCAAGAAGAATATCCGATAAATGTGACTCATGTGAAAAGAGTTTAAAATCCATTTCAGAATATATTAGTAGTGACGGAAGCTATGCAAGAATGAAGCCTGATGAATGTAGTGCCTGTGGGAAATCACTTCTTCATGTGAAACTTGAGAAAACTCACCCAGGGGAGAAATCTTATGAATTTAATCAAAATGGGGAAGCTTATACTCTAAATGAAGAAAGTATTTATCAGAACATTCATATTTTGGAGAAACCCTTTGAATATATTGAATGCCAGAAAGCCTTTCAAAAGGATGCAGTTTTTATTAATCCTATGGAGGAGAAGCCCTATAAGTGGAATGAATCTGAAATAGCCTTTCTCCAGATGTCAAACCTCAGTGTACACCCAACATCTCACATGGAAATGAAGCCCTATGAATGCAGTGCATGTGGGAAATCCTTCTGCAAAAAGTCAAAATTCATCATACATCAGAGGACTCACACAGGAGAGAAACCTTATGAATGTAATCAGTGTGGAAAATCCTTCTGCCAGAAGGGAACCCTCACTGTACATCAGAGAACACACACAGGGGAGAAGCCCTATGAATGTAATGAATGTGGGAAAACCTTCTACCAGAAGTTACACCTCATTCAACATCAGAGAACTCACTCAGGAGAGAAGCCCTATGAATGTAGTTATTGTGGGAAATCATTTTGCCAGAAGACACATCTCACCCAACACCAGAGAACACATTCAGGAGAGAGACCCTATGTTTGTCATGATTGTGGAAAAACCTTCTCCCAGAAGTCAGCTCTTAATGACCATCATAAAATTCACACAGGTGTGAAGCTCTACAAGTGTAACGAATGTGGCAAATGCTTCTGCCGCAAGTCTACTCTCACCACACATCAGAGGACACACACAGGAGAGAAACCCTATGAATGTAACGAATGTGGAAAATTTTTCTCTCGGTTATCATATCTAACTGTACATTACAGAACTCATTCAGGAGAGAAACCTTATGAATGTAATGAATGTGGGAAAACCTTCTATCTGAATTCAGCCCTCATGAGACATCAGAGAGTACACACCGGAGAGAAACCATATGAATGTAATGAATGTGGAAAATTATTCTCCCAGTTGTCATACCTCACTATACATCATAGAACACATTCGGGAGTGAAACCCTATGAATGTAACGAATGTGGGAAAACCTTCTACCAGAATTCAGCCCTGTGTAGACATCGAAGAATACATAAAGGAGAAAAGCCCTATGAATGCTATATATGTGGAAAATTCTTCTCTCAGATGTCATACCTCACTATACATCATAGAATCCATTCAGGAGAGAAACCCTATGAATGTAATGAATGTGGGAAAACCTTCTGCCAGAATTCAGCCCTTAATCGACACCAGAGAACACACACTGGAGAGAAAGCCTATGAGTGTTATGAATGTGGAAAGTTCTTCTCTCAGATGTCATATCTCACTATTCATCATAGAATTCATTCAGGAGAGAAACCCTTTGAATGTAATGAATGTGGAAAAGCCTTCTCGCGAATGTCATATCTTACTGTACATTACAGAACTCATTCAGGAGAGAAACCCTATGAATGTAATGAATGTGGGAAAAAATTCTATCACAAATCAGCCTTCAACAGCCATCAGAGAATCCATAGGAGAGGGAATGTGGATGTACTTGATGTAGGAAGTTTTCTCTGAAGTCAGACCTCATGCTACATGAGAGAACCCTTTCAGTGTACTGTATAAGAAACTCCTGCCTTTGTTAAGTCAGAGTTCACACAGGAATGTGGACCTGTCTCTGTGCATTAGTCAGACTTGTAGATGCAGAATTCACAGGGTAGAAACCACAACTGCAACAAGATACATGGCTTGTTGGACACCAGACTGTACAGGAGTAAAATGCATAAACAGGTAGGACGTATATACACTTCCATGGAGTCAAACTATTTCACATATCAGGGAATTCATACTAAGAGGAGAATTTGTCATTCTACGGAATGTGGAAAATCCACTCCTCTGGAAATTATTAATACTAAAAGTTATGTTTCTGCTATAATATTGAGCTTTTTGTAAAAAAACACACAAACATATCTATGTTGTGAATAAATGTGCTCCTTGTGTAAATAGAACCTGTAAAACCAGATAGCTGATCAAGACTACAACACAGCCACATTAAACTCATGTATACGTGAGTGTTTCCTGAGCATGTAGGCCTCTGTTAGCTTGCTTTTTGGGATGGTACATTACAGGAATTGTATGTTCCTTCGGAATCACATTTGAAAAGGCAGTGTATCCTTATTGGAATAATTTCTAAGATGTGGTAAGATTACCTCTTTTAAATAGCACAGCCATGTTAGTTCTTAATATGCATTGCCACTGAACTACTTTGATAGGTATGAAGTATGCTTCTTGTACTCTTTCCTAGCACTTACAGATGTACTTTATCATTGTTAATGAACTAAACCTTCCATAAAGAAGTCAGTGTTTTTAATAATGTTCTTAACTGTATCCGAGTCAGCAAGAGATAGAAATGTATGCATAAATAGAAAACTGCATAGGTACTTTTAAATTGTTAATGCCAGAAGTCTCCAGTAGTGAGAAACAACTGTAGTATTCATTGAACTCTATACAGTTTAAAATTGTACTTAAAATATTCCCATTTTTATCTAATTTTTTTCATATACTATTTTTATTTGGATGCCTACACAAATGTAAATGTGCAGACCACCATACTATGTAACTTTGGAATTATCTGTGTTTTTATTTGATATGATAGTATTTTTAAACATCGTGCTCTACGCTTTCCTATCCCCGAGTGATTGAAGAACCCTTCACGTGGGTTTGTGGCAGACATTGTTGAGTATTCACCTCATCACTTGCTCCTTACTGTTGCTGGCAGAGCTTGGTATCCATTTCTCCTAATGGAATGGGATAAATCCTGATCTCTTTCAACCAGTAATGATAATCCCTTTCTCATTACCAGCAATGCAGTGGTCATGGGACCCAATTCTAACACATATACAAAGGAGATATCTGACAGATTATTTTGGAAAAAGGTTTCCTCAGAGTCGAGGAGCCCTGTGAGGCGACATGGAATCTTGGTTGACCGTTTCCGTGCTGGGATGTGATGCTTGGTTGTCTCTCAACAATGATGTATAGCTGAAGCACGGCAGAGCACAAAGACCGGAAGGACCAGGCCCAGATGGGGCTGCTGAGCCACTGGACCAGCCAGCCATGGAGCCACTTCAATGCTCGACTATTTCTTCTGTGAAAGACTCGATTTATTTTTCAGCCAGTGGATTTGGGTTGCTCTGTTAGTGATAACTGAAGCTACAGAGTTACGCTTTTGTAGGAGTTATACAGCTGAGAAGTGGACATTAGTAGGTCATTTATTTTGAGGTGTTGATACAGAGGTTTATCTTATTTGCTGTAAATTTTGATGTAAATAGTTTGAGTATTAGAAACAATTAAATGTGTCCATTTCCTTGAATTGTTACATCATTGACCTAAGGACCTTTGGGACCTGATATAATCTTCCTTTCTATAAAGCACAACTTAAGTTTTCTTTAGGTTAATTTATATTATTCATGGATCGTTGCTACAATGTAGCTGACAGCATATGGTGTCAGGAAAGGACCTACTTTTGTTTGCCCTCCAGTGGTTAGCCTGATGTCTGTGTAATTTGAGTAATTTGCCCCTCACCACTGAGATGAGTGGCCACGTTTTTCATTATTTCACCACACATGGCCCCTTCTGTTGCTAAGCACTCTCCCTCCACGTCCTTCTAGGTGGTTGTGACGGTGCCACATAACAGGACTCAAAGGTCTGGTGGGTTGTAGAGTTTTGTGTAGGAACTGTGTGTTCACAGTACATTTTTTGAAATGACATTTACTGGGGTTTCCCGCCCTCGTGTGTCATCATTACAGCTTAAATGCACAGTGTGCATTTTAAGTAGGATATCTGACAGCTGTACCTGGCTTACAGCACCCTGTTCCTCCGATGGAGCCCTGCACACACGGGCTGGTGCGTGGGAGTGGTCCTCCACTGCCCCTTCAGTAACCCAGACACGGAACTGTCGGCTTCCCAACGTCCATGTCGTGTTGGTACGTCGCTGAAGTTGGCGTGTTCCGATTTAACTGGCCCTGTTTCTCTTCTTCCTTAGAGGCGCTTAAAGTAATAGTTTTTCTCAGAGTTGATGGAATGGCACATTTGAAATGGTCTGAGTTATCTGGGCCAGCGTGGCAGACACACAGGCCAGAGTTGGTGATTTTGAAAAAGCTCCGTGTGGGCTGGGTCAGTTTACCTATTGGGCAGCAAGAACTGCGAGCAGCTGAGACACGTGAGTACTGGCTTCGTAAACAGAGGGACCTCATAATCCGTGGTGTGAGCAGATTAGGAACCCTGCGGGATTTTCATGGGCTGAGCCAGGAGGGCGACCCTGCCTGGCAGGTGGAGGTGAGATTCCCCCATTTGTTAAATCTTCCTAGAGTTAGTGAACTGTCGGTTCAGTTGTTGCTCCGATGGCTCTTCATCATTCTGATGAAGACATGGGCCACATTTTATCTGAGGCCACGGTCATCTTTATTCCATCCCACTGTGCCTGGCTAGGCTATCCAGTCAAGCTCCCCCAAGGAGGCTGTATACTCAGCCACATGGTTGCAGCCCAGATAATGGCCAGCTTTGTATAATGCCTCCGATTAAACAAGGACATAACATGTTTAAAATTATGTTGCTCTTTGCTTATCACAGAGGTACCCACATCACAAATAAATTGCTTTCCCTTTCTTAAATTTAAAAACTATGATTCCTGCCAAGTTGAGGAACCAGCATGGGCTGCTTGTTTCCATAGCCCAACCCTGAGATGCCACAGACATAAGAGCAAGTAATGGGCCAGGGGACTAACCTGAATGGGAGCCAGCTCTGTGGGAAGACAGATGTGGCTCTTGTGGGGGAGGTATTGGTGGCTAGACACTGTCGGGCAGGTGAAGAAAGCTTGGAATATAATTGTTTTCTACACTATACACATTCTGCCCCCCCCCCCCATGGCACCTTCATGAGACAGGAAAGCAGAGCTCCCTTAGAGTAGCCCCTTGGTGCAGCTGGGAGGGGTGGGTGCAACAGGCACAGAGCCTTGGCCTGGAGACCTGGTTGCTCCCACAGCCATGTCTGCAGTGAGGGGCACATTTCTCTGGGTGCAAGAGGCACTTTGGGTGATAGTGCGGAGGTGTGGGTGATAGTACAGAGGTATCTTGGGGGGAATCAGTCTGGATGGGGTTTCAGCCTCACTGGGGTGGCCTTTCTCTTCTGGAAACACATACCTCTATGTAAACCACCCTGAGGAGCAGGAACTAGGGGTCACACCTCTGCTACTCACATCAACGAAGATTTGTGGATACCCCAGTGAAAATTAAGTACAGAAAAAGTCAGACATGTGCTTCCTAATAGACAGCAGACCATACCACCCACAACCGGTGAAGTAATGGGGTGTGGAAATGCACATTTCAGATGTTCTTAATAGACATGTTAACAGAGGGCCCTTTGTCACCTCTCACCCTTCCCTTGGGCAGGGACAAAGCTGTGGTGCTGGCGAGCTGGCTTCCACCCCGAGAACTAGGACAAAGCCTGAGCTGGCTGACTTGTTCTGAAAAGTGCCAGATAGGAACACAAGGCAGCTGCTCACCTGTCCCTGTCCCATGAAAGCACCTACAGAGCACAGGTAGATGGGCCTGGCTGGCTCCAATAGCTTTTAAGTATGGACAGCGAAATCTGCGATTTCAACAGCGTTCATGTGCCACAACATGTTATTCTAAAATGGAAAAACCAGCTTACAGTTTGTGCAGGAGGCGGCCGCCGGCCAAATTCGGCCTGTGAGCGGTCTTGCTGGTGCCTGCTTTTGGGGATGGAGAAGTCAGACGACAAAGGGAAACTTTTCTCTGGATAACGCCACCAAGGAGGGCTGACCTCCCTCCCTCGACCACTGCTCGTTTGGGACTCGGCCTCAGGAAGGCCCCAAGAAGCCCCTCGGCCCTCACCTCAGATCCGCCTGTAGGCTCCATGTCCAGGCTGGGAGAAAGGCTGAGACAGAACTGTAGCCAGTGTGGCTAAGTGTTGGGGTGCCCCACACAGGGCCCGTCTGCAAAGACGGGGTGAGTATTTTGTTCTCTTTTTCTTTTTGTCCCCCCCTTTCCTTATTTTTTGGCTCCAAACGTTTAAGGAAACTGGCAAAACCCACCAGACCTCTGAGCTAGCGGAGCAGGGCGTTCGGGGCCACACGTGACGAAGCATCCAGGCTCGCTGATTCCAAGTTCAGAAAAGTCAACCAGGAGGCAAACAACGACCCACAATAAACAAAACCT